AATGTATCTACTTGAAATTATTTTTATGTAAGAAAGGCAACTCTACCTATTTGTAAAGAATAGGTCTTTGGAGGGATTTCAGCTTTCTTTTCACTCGTTGTATGAATCAGACATGATCTAGCGTCAATTTGATTGATGATGGCTGGGCAGAGATAGTTGAACTCTGTTGCATTCAGCAGAACCTGGATGCCCATGCCATGAGATGTAAGCAACTTTGACGCATTGAAACACTGCAGGAAACAAAACAGTGAAAATCACCAAAAAGTATTCCCATTAGATAATCCAAAAAAGTTGTCTGATGATACAACACCCTTTCCATACTGAAGCTCCTTCTTTATTTTTTCAAGTTAATGCATTAAAACCAACTTTTGTCTTGAGTACTTTGGAACTTGCCTCAAGCTCCCTGGAGATACTATGTCACAATGGGGCTATCCCACCTCTTCTGCTTCCTTCCTCTTGGGAGAAGCAGGTAAATCACTAGTCATCTAGAGAAAAAGCTCCGAGTGGAATAACCTTGAGGATAAATGGACATTCACAAGCCTGTTAACTCACTGTATAAACCTATTAAGGAAATGAGCTTTAATTTTGAGATGGAGTTCATTAGAGATTGAGAAATATGTTGCTTTAGTACTAAAGCTACCCTACGTGGCCTAAACAAGCCCAAGACACGTCACTCTTCCAGCAATGACTGTACTTGCAAAACTTAGCTCAGTTCTGTCTATACACCTGGCAAAAGCTCTACAACGAGAGAATATTAAATTATGTAAATTACTCTTGCGGAGGGCAAGGCTGGTTAATAAAACAAACTTGTACCAGCAGGCAGCTGTTTCAACAGCTTAATTAGATGACAAGCTTAGTTTGAAAAGAATCCCCTGTAGGTAATCTAAGCTCCCCTTCTCACACAAAAAAAATTGGCAGTAGCACCTGCTTCTCATCTTCTGTGAAGTTACTTTAAATTCCCATAGTTCTTGGCCAATACTACTCAGGCCAAACTTTATTACCGGTGTCGCTATGGGAATGACCATTAGGATTATTCCGGAATTGGTACAGTCATAGGATGACTTGAACGAAGTACTCTTTAAGTTTTGCTTATTAATGCATACTAACTAATTTCTTGCTCTTGACATCTCTCAGCCAAGAACTGCGTACAGTCTGGAAGTCTAGACTAGGAAGACACGTGACTTCAGAACCTCACTTCCCAGACTTTTCAATTGTCCAGCACATGGTTCTTGATAGCCGCTCCAGTTTCAGCACTCCCCAAGTCACTGAGAGCCCTCTTTCAAGAAGGTAACACTATTGTTCTCCATGCCTTCTTTTGTGCCTTCAGCCACACCTTTCCCTAAAACATGGATTCTAACTCCTGCTTTTTCGACCTCCCATTTTCTACTTTTCATTAACAATATTTACCTTCTAAAACTTTATCCAAATATCCTTGATTACTGCTTTCCATACTCATTTTAAATTCCATATTAGAAAATAGTTTTAGCTGCCAGCACCATTCTTACCAAAAAAATTATCCCCCAAGTTTTCTATCGTTAATGTTTACAACACAGTAGAGACAAGGGCCTTTGGGCCAAGTGCCTGGATGAGAAAGTAGAAACTCCCTTTTCAATAACATCATTTTATTTTTACTTCACACTCCTTGCAACTAGAGATAGAATGGCAATGACAGGACAAACAAGCAGGCATAATGAAAAACATTCATCTTACCTCCTGAGTATTTTCATTTGCGTTTCTGGAATACATAAAGCCTTTTCTGGGCTCACTCACAGATTCATTTGTTTTCCTACTGGCCAGCCGGCTCACCCGGCTTTTTTCTGTGATACTGGGTGGAGTGGAACTGCTCACGTCTTTGGGGAAAAATTTTCCAGGTTTTGGAGTGTCTATTGTCTCTAGAAAGTGAGTTCCTTCAGAGACAGCATTATACACAGCTGAGGTCACTTCACTAGCAGTAACACCATCCTTGATTAAAACATTCCTTCTACCATTGGCACGTTCTGATCGGTGAGATCCTTTCCCCTGGCTGTTTCTGGGATCTTTACCCAAACTATCAGACTCATGGTCTGGGCAAAGAGCTTTCCGATTATTTTTACTGGAAGCAGCATGATTACGGTGAGAGTGGTGATCATGGTCAGAGTGATGGTCGTGGTCATGGTGTATATGGATTTTTTTAACCTTATCTATGCCTATATTCTGAAGCAATTTTCTGAACCCTTCAACTGACAAGGAATTATTTTCTCCATAGCGATGGAAAAGCTGCTGTAGATGATGTCGCTGTGTGGCAACTGCCAAGTCAACATTAATGCCAGATTCCCAATTCGTAATAATTTTCTCAGTGGTCTGAGCGAAAGCAGTTGCCGGTTCTAGTTCATGAAGGGGATTTGTGACTGACAGGGTGAAGGTCAGAATCAAGATTACAGATAAATTCCTCGCCATTGCACCTTCCTAGAGAAGACAGAAAAAAAAATTCTTGCCTTCACTTTTAAAACAATTTAAAACTTAAGAAATCTCATGCTGAAAATTGCTATCAAATAATCAAGGTTTACAGAGCATCATTTAGTGTGACTGATTTAGTGCTACATACTGTGAAAATATAAAGAACTATATATATACATAAAGAAAATATGAAGAATCCTAGGCTCTACCCTTGTATTGCTAAAACACTTGAAACAACTGGAGAACAATTGCGTGCTGAGACCATAATTAGCACTGCAAAAGCAATAGTAATTCAGAAACTGGAGATTCATGTGGTCACAGACATACCTGGCAACTTATTACTGCTTCTGTGGACCCTCAAAAGGGATCACCAGGTAAGAACAATGATTTGAAACAAAACCTAACTACCCCCACCATCATCATTATTTTATAGAATAATCTTTTAACATAAAAAAAACGAGAAATGGCAATCTCAGGATAATTCACATTTAAACCTTTTTAAAAATATATACAAATCAACTTAAGGCTTCTCTTCACCCAATCCCACTCCTCAAAGGTACCTAGTTTTGCCAGTTTCTTGTATTATCCCTTAGGATAGTTTCTACGCATACTCAAATAGATGTGTCCTTTTTCCTACTCAACAAATGACACCTTTCTGTGTTGGTACATATAGATTGATCTCATTCTCTTGAATGCCTGCAAAATAACACCTCTTCAAGTAAATTAAACTTCATAAAAAAATGTATCGTTCTTATGTGGCTATAAAACAGTGAAAACTTTATCACAGACTATCATCACTCATCCACACAATAGTATTTGGAACCAAAGGCCTACACTCCAAAGAGAAGAATGAAGTTGAGCCTTGGGGCGCCTGGCTGGCTCAGTCAGTGGAGCTTGCGGCTCTTGAACAAGCGGTTGTAGGTTTGAGCCCCATGAGAGATTACTTAAAAATAAAATCTTTAAAAAAGTAAAAAATAAAAAAAATAAAGAGACCATTTTATATATATAAATCAAATTGAGCCTTGAAAAGCAGAACTCAGTTAAAGAAGAGAAGGTATAGTCCAGAGAAGCAGATGGACTGATATCTCAGGACCCAGCAGACGTCCACCACCACTGATGGATGGTGATTGTGACCAAATTCATCTGCCATCAGCCAAAGAATCTAGGGGTCAGGTTCCGGAGCTAGAGAGCAAGGAGGGGCAACCTAGTTCTACCACTTTCAGCTGTTTCCTGCACCAGGAAAAGCTGGTAATGATACATAACTTGACGGATGGCTGAAGAAACCATATGAACGAATGTCTGTGCAGGTGCTCCATAACTGTCATTTGTTGCAGTGGAAAATGGAAGTATGTAACTACCATACGGCTAGACTCCTGAAAGAAGAATCGTCAGAGCCTGAAGTTTTGGGAATTCAGTTAATACGCAAAAGAGAAAGATTAAGAAATCATTCGCAGGAGAGGCAAGGAGCGGGGTGGGTGGGGACACGCACAGACGGATGGCTCAGTGGGCAGCTCCATGCCTTTCTCCAGGGAGGATGCTTAAGGCGGTCGCGGACCGGCCGGCGGATCTTCCCTGCAAACCAGCATGTGTACAAGAAAAAAGAAAGCCGAAGGACAAGGGCCTGGAAAAAAGGGGCGAGTGGAGAAAATGGGAAAAGAGGACACAAAACTGCTTCCAAAAGCTTTTTATTTTTAAACACGACAGTACCTTCTTCGAATATGAGATGAACAGGACAGACCGTTTCCTTCTAAAGTCCTTCGCTGCACCCCGGAGCCCAACTGTGCACCCGAAACTGGGAAAGTCCGGCCTCCACGGCCCGCGAGGCTCCCCCTCTCCGCTGTCCCCTCCCGGACCTGCGGGACTCACCTCTCCGCGGCCTCGCCGTCCCCGCGCGCCGGTTCAGCTCCCCGCGGGCGGTCCGGAGGTTTCGGAACCGGTCCGTGCTTCTCTCTGAGAAACCTCTACAGGGCACGGAGAAGCGGCGGTCTCATCTGACCGGCTGCCCCTCGGGCCGGGGTACCGCCGCGCAGCCACCGGGAAGCCGCGCCCCACACGCCTCGCCTCCCGGGAGCAGGAGGACAATTACTAATTACCGCCGCGCGCAGCGCGCCGCCGCGAACCACCGCCTCCGCCGGCCATGACTTCAGGGCATGCGCAGTGCGACCCGGAACCCCGTCCCGGTCAGGCGGATCCGCGTGTCCGCCTGTTCGCCGGCGCCACGGGGCTCGCAGAAGCGGGAGGGGCAGAGGCGCGGTCAGAGTGGGCTGTGAGCGCCGACACCAGCTAGCTGGGGCCCTTTCTAGGAGCCCCTCCGCGGCCCTGCGCCTCTCTGAGGCCGGAGACTCGCTCTCCAGGCCCCCCGGCCAGCCCCATCTGCTACTGGGACCCTGGCCGTGAGAGGCAGCGGGACGTTCCTGACAAGCACACAAGCCCCGGGTCTTTGTGGAAGGTGCTGAGCCACTCCAGTAGGGCCTTCGTTCCTGGGACGGAGGCTGTGCTTTTGCGCTGGGCCACGATCCAGAAGAGAGCTAGTAACTGCGCTCAGACACGGAGGACCACTCGCGGCAGGAGAGGGGGCGGGCCCGGCGAGGCGGGGGCGTACCCGCCTCCGCCCCGCCCTCGGCCGCCTCTGAAACGCGGTGCGGATAACGCCTGCGGGAGAGGCGACCGCGCGAGTAGTTCCGTTCCGAGGGCGGAAGTGCGCGCCCAGGTCTCGGCCGCGGCCCAGCCAGCAGCATGGTTGCGCCGGTGCTGGAGATAACTCACGTGTTTTGCTGCCCAAACCGGGTGCGGGGCGCTCTGAGCTGGAGCTCCGGGCCCGGAGGACTTTTGGCCTTCGGCACGTCCTGTTCCGTGGTGCTCTATGACCCTCAGGTAGGAGAAGTGGCCGGACACCCGTTTCCATGTTCTTCGGGGGTTCGAATCCTCTGCGTGCGCTCGGGGCGGACTGTAGACGCTCTTGCGGAGCGGGGGGAAGGCTGTGTGGGCGAGGAGTCGCCCATGGGCGCGCGGGACTCACTCCTCGTCCTCTCGCACGCCGCGACAGCCTGGGATCACCAGGTCCTGCCAGTGGCCTGTTAGGCCCACGTAACCCCACCTGAAAGACCTTTTCTGAAGCCTTCCGTGGGAACTGTCATACTGTTAACTAGTTTGGGTTTTAAAGGATTTGCAATTTAGGTATGGATGAAAGCCATAATCACAGGTACTCATTTCTGTATTTTCCTTCAGACTTATTTAATAAGCTTGTATTGAGTTTCAAAGAAATACCACTTTTATTTTGGCTTTGGGAATAGACATTGAAGGCGCTGTTGGGGTAAAGGTCAAAGGGATTAGGGATCCTAAGCAGTAGTTATAAAGCAGGACTTAACACATTCCCTGAACTTCACCCAGCCGGTTGATTACTCTTGGTGCGTTACCTACCTAACTTTTCAAGTGCCTAGTTTTTGCATTCTTCCCAGAGTTGTTATGACTGTTCTCGTTGTCTAATTTTGGACGATACAATTAGTGTTGCTTCTCAAAAAGAGTCTCAGTATAAAAAAAACAAAGTGCTAGAAATGAAAATGCAGTGCAGGAAATAGCTATCTGTATTTCTTGTACTGCTTTATTAGTTTGATTAAAAATCCCATTATTTTTATAACCTTTTCACATTCAAATTTATATATGAAATAGTTGTACTCATTTTCCGTGTCTTGAGCTTGCGTGCCATCTCTGTTGCCGAGTGCATTCTTAACTGGCAAGAGAAAGCACAAAAGCACGAAACCAACTAAACTTTACCGAGTCGCTCAGCTGTAGAAGCCCATCTTTCTACAGCCATTTAATGTATTTGTGCCTGTGTCTTCCATTACATTTTTACTTCTAATGATAACTTGGTGGTCATGTTAGGGGATTTTAGCTTACCAGAAAAGTATATTGGGCCTAATAAGTGTTTTGTTAAATATTTGCTGTTTGGGCACTTAATTAAATATAGGAATAAGAGCATGTCAGATGCTAAAATAAAGTTTTGGAGTGATACTCATTCACCAAATTTTTGAGGACCCTCTATGGGCTAGCCCTGGACTGGGTGGTGATGACAGAGAGAAAGGGTAGTAATTCTTGACCATCAAGCAGTTCTTAATCTAATGAGAGAGACAGGGAAATACGGTAAGTTGTTCCACAACTTCAAATAACTTATGTGTGAAATATACTAGTTTTTTCACATTTACTTTGCATACTTTTTTCTCGTCATGAGAATTTCAGTTGGCATATAAGCAAATAGGAAGTTGGTGCTATTGGCAGTAGAGAAAGGGGCTCTGAAGAGGCAGGCGCTGTAGTCAGAGAGTTAATATCCTCACCAGTGTGGGAAGTAAAGAAAGCCCAAGTGAGGAGGGATTTTGCTAAAAGCAACAGTCTAAGAAGCTGCTGGGAATTGGCTATACGACCTGAAAGGATCTGCTATTTGAGGGAGGAAGTAGTTGTGGCCTGGTAACTTTGTATCATTAAGGTTGAAGGACCCAACACCTGATCAGCCATGGTATGCAAAGTTGAGTCATGAATTTGAATCCAGTAATCGTGAATTCCTCTATTGAGGAATTTTTGCTCAATAAAGCCCTCAGATTGGTGTAAACATGGTGGAAGTAGGCCGAGACCTGTGGGCACACAAGGAGGAGTTACCTTGTCTAGCCTGGGGTGTCAAGACAGGCTCTCCAGTAGAGAAAGATGGAGGCGATTAGTAGGAGCCAGCAGATGAAGATCGGAGAGCTCAGTGTGCTGAGAGCACAGGACATAGGAAATGTGGAGTGGTGGAAAATGCAGACACACATTAGAGTGAATGGATGGTTTAAAGTTTATGAATTAAGAGAGGTGATTTGGTTTGAAGTAATCCTGAACTTTATTAGCATCAAAACCACTGATATCTGACTTTTATTAATTTATTAATTTCTCTGTAGGATAAATTGTAATTTACTAACTGGTGTTTTCTTCTGTAAAGAAAAGAGTTGTTATTACCAACCTGAATGGTCACACTGCTCGAGTCAATTGCGTACAGTGGATTTGTAAACAAGACGGTTGTAAGTATTAATCTAGTTGTTAAAGCTGATCTCAGTTGTTTTCTGATAAAGTATTATTAGTCATTTTTCTTTAATCACTTGTGTTAATTTAACATTAGCTTATCTGATATTATGCAGTTGGAAAACAGAAGAAAAACAGTATGCCCAGTGAAATATCTGACCTGTACTTCATAGAACTAAACCATGGATAACATAGCAGTGCCTAGGATGAGGGTAGAGACAGCCCCTGACTCTGGCTAGACCCTCTTCATTGTCCACAGTTTTTGACTGAAAGCCTGTAAGCAGGGCCTGTGCTGGGGTGCAGGCTGGGATTCAGAGGATTTGGCTTGAGATCTATTTCTGCCACAGACAAGCTGTTGTGTTTTTAGGCAGAACATTGCATCTCTGTTCACCCCAGTTTACACCTTAGTAACACCTGAAAAGTAATGCTTGAACTTGGTCAGGTGACCTTAGAGGTTCACAACACCTGTGAGGTCAAAATTATTTTCAGAATAATACAAGAAGTTAGTCATAGTTTTCATTCTCATTCTGTCTCAAGTACACAGTGGCATACTGCAACAGATTGAGTACAGAAGCAGATAGGAAAATCCAGTTGTATTCTTTTTTTTTTTTTTTTTAAAGATTTTATTTATTTATTTGACAGAGAGAGGCATAGCGAGAGAGGGAACACAAACGGGGAGTAGGAGAGGGAGAAGCAGGCTTCCCGCGGAGCAGGGAGCCCGATGTGGGGCTCGATCCCAGGACCCTGGGATCACAACCTGAGCTGAAGGCAGACGCTTAACGACTGAGTCACCCAGGTGCCCCGAAAATCCAGTTGTATTCTAATAAAGTCAGATGTTAAAGAGATGGGCAGAAATGTAAAACAGTGCCTCTCTTCTCATTAATTTTTTGTTTTGGGAAATATAGGGATTTCCCCCCCCAGGCCCCACAAATGTTATTTATGTTAACATGTGATGGGGTTCGTCATCATTTTTAAGTAAACTAATAAAAAAGTATTTTTCAAATTTCTGGTTTAACTTCTAATGTGGTTGATATTGGTACATATAGTCCATATAAACAAAAGCTTTTGGGGTTCTCAAAAAATTTTAAGAGTGTAAAGAAATCCTGATACCAAAAAAATTGAGGATTACTGGACTAGATTATCTCCAGGTCTCTTATCTCTAAGATTCTTTGATTCAGGAACTTTTAATTAACATATTACTTTTAGGTAGTGCTTCTGAAATCCTATGGAATTTCCTCAAATGTCTTATATATACTTACTGTGGTATTCTTATGGACTCTGAATTAATTTTATTTTCCTTTCCATAAACATTTATTGAGAGCCTTCTGAGCCGTATGCAAATGCAAAATTTTCTGAACGAGTAAGACTTTGCCATGACTTTATCTGTGACATTAAAAAAAAGTTTAATAAGCTACTTATTTCATTTCATAATGCAGGATTAGTCATGTTAGGTCAGTAAAAATCTTTAAATAGTAGAAAGAGTGGCTGTTGGTGCAGATATTAAAGCACAATTGTAATTATATTAATTGCCACCAAGTGACATCAAAGACTACTTGCATTTCTGTATAGGGATTTATTATAAAATATTAATTTGGGCTAGTATATTTTATCTTCCCTTTAAAAGTGAGGTTACATAAAATGAATTGCTTGTGTTTCACTGTAATCTATAACTATTATGTTTGGTTTCCTCTAAGATTAGGGCTCTATCACCAGATAATTAAGATGTTTTTTCTTAACCCAGGTATCAGTGAACATAACATTTTAATAATACCATTTCATATTTTCAGGGATGCCAGCCTGGCTCAGACAGCAGAGTATGTGACTCTTGATCTCAGGGTCATGAGTTCAAGCCCCATGTTGGGTGTGGAGCCTACTTAAAAAGATTTTTAAAAAAATACTATTTCATATTTTTAAAATTTAACACATTACTTTTATGTTCCTTATAGTAATTTCCAAAGTCATGTAGTTAAATGGCTTAATTTCTGTGATGTATGAAGAAATTAAACCCCAATATCACAGCTGGCTGGCACTAGGGTTAGGACATGAACCTGGGACTTCTGACTATAAGTCCAATGTCCTTTAGACAATTCCCCACCGCTTCCCCTAAGGATCTAGCACATAGGCCAGAAGAAACAAACAAGTGGAAAATCCAAACCAAAATGATATTTGATTATTTCCACCCTCCTTTTGGTTGTTAATCCTTTTGTTATCAATAAGAAGTTGTAAATGGTTAAAAAAAACTACTTTGAAATATTTGTCTTATTTTAAAAATATGTTGTATACTTGGTAACAGCAGCTGACTATAATATCTCATATATGTTATTCCTGCCAAAAGTGTTTAGCCTGAATCTTACATGAGGAAACAACCAGATATATCCAGATTAGGAACATTCTGCAAAACAATTGTCTGGGACTCTCATTGTCACAAAAAAGGGGGACTGGGAAACTATTCTAGGTTAAAGGAGACTAAAAAGATATGACAACTAAATATGCAATGTGTGGTCCTTAGATTCAGAATTTTAAAAAGGTATAAAAGACATTACTGGGACAATTTGGGGCAATTTTAATGTGGACTGTATGTTACATTAATGATGCTGTGTCAACAATTAAAATTGTTGAATACAATAATTGTATTGTGGTAATGTTGGGGAATGGTCCAATTCTTAGAAGATATATGAAAAAGTGTTTTAACAGTCAGAGGTCCTGATATCTGCAACTTATTTTTAAATGGTTTGCCATAAACAAAGAGGTCTATGCATATACATATATAGAGAAAGTGAGATTTTAAGCAAATGTGGCAAAATGTTAACAGTTGGTGAGTCTAGGTAAGGGGTATATGAGTTTTCTTATATCTTTTCTATAGCTTTGAAAGTTCTCAGAATAGCTGGGAAAAAATAAAAATATTTATGGAAATAAAATTTTTTCCAGCTTCTACTGAATTAGTTTCTGGAGGATCTGATAATCAAGTGATTCACTGGGAAATAGAGAATAATCAGGTGGGTAGACATGTTTATAGTTACAAGAAATAACTTATATCTGCTTTTATTTTCAGCTCTTTTCTTCATATCAGCTGTGTTCTTTTATGAAGTTGCTTCATTCTTATCAGTAATCCAGATCCTGTATGTTCTGTACTTCACATGCCCTGTACCCTTTCCTCTAATATTTGTTCTCATATTCATATGCTGTCATTCATTTCTGTGAATTTCCCGTCTCTTTGGAATAGTTTCCAACTGTACTTACAGGGGCCATTTGTTCTCTTTTCAGTGATAGCAAAAATTAACAGTGCTCGTGTTCATAGGACAGCTGTTACCACATGGGTATAGATTTACATAATTCTAAGTAATGTTATAATATGCACTGCTGACTATGGATGGATCTCTACTGATGGACACGAGGTTGTTTCTAGTTGTAAGCGAAGATTAAAAGCGTGTTAGACATTTGAACATCTGTCATGCAGAAGATGAAGAGGCAGAATCTTGTTTATGATTCATGTACATGGTTTTGATGGCAAAATGTACTTGAATAGCTAAAGTACAAGGGTAGCTCCGTAGATGTGTGCTCTGACTTGCTGTATGACAACCATGGTGCTGTGAGTTCAGTAGAGTTTGAAGAGGTGGCCTTTGAGTTGGGTCTTAAAGTGTGGGATGGTTTCCTTGGGAGGAATTTAAGGGGCGAGAATTCCTGGTAGGAAAAATGGCATGGATAAAAAAGCTCAGGTGGTAAAGGAGACCACCTGCTCAGCAGTATCCAGTCTTAACCGAAGCCTAAGATGTCTTTAGGGCAGGGTTTTCTAAAGTTTGTTCAGAGAATTACTCATCTTTCAAGAAGTTATGTGAAAAAAGGAATCTATGGGCAATCAAGGTTGGGAAATAACTTTGGTGTATATATCTAAGGTATATATCCTATACCTTCTTTAGAGAGTCCCAGTGCACCATGAGTGTAGTGAAATCCCTGCAGAGTTCTGACATGGACGAACATTGAATATCTTCATTTAACTAGCATTTTCCAAATTTCTTTCAAGTTTGAATTTTTTTTTTTTTCCTTTTAAATCGCTTAGCATTCCTTATAACTCTGAACACCATAGTTTTGGAAATGTTCCTAGGTAATTCATTGTAGGCAGTAATATTAAGTACATACAATAGGAGAAGATTGTGTGGCAATGTGAATATCAGCTTTAAGAGTTTGTTCTTTATTAGCAGGCTTTTGGAAGTCATTGGTAATTTCTAAGCAGAACAATATGAGTGTCAAAAGAAGATTAATCTGACAGCAGTGTGCCAAATTAGAGTAGGAAAAAATATGAAGAAAGCAGTGTGGGGTGTGTTTTTGAAGGGAAGATGATTTTGACATTGACTAGTTATCAAAGGAGTGGGAGCTGGTGTTAGGGGAGTGAGTAATTAAAAGTAGTGGGATTCTGTTTTCAGGCTCTGAGAGAAAGGTGCTTCTACAAAGAAAAATAGGGAAGTAGGAAGAAATATGTGGAATTTACTTACAGACATGTCATTTGAATTGCTGGCCAGACGTCCAGACTTGTCCTCAGAAAGAGGGCGGATGTGGAGGTGGGGATTTTGGAAGTACCTAGACTTGAATAAGAGCAAAGAGGAGTGTAACAAACTTAAGTCGTGTTTGGACCGATCTTGGCAGAGGAATCCAGAGAATGATTTGAGCACTCATTTTTGAGATTTTGAGGTGATACTTGCAAAACTCTTTCCTCAGTGTTGCCTCATGCTTCTGTCAGTAGGGAGGACTGAGCAAGTATCTGAAGGCAGACAGCAAACTTAGAGGCCAGAAGAGAATGTGAAGCCAGACAGAGGAGGACAGCAGGAGGGTAAAAGGCGTAAAGGGATGAAGGGAATAAGAGGATTTAGGGGAAGGGTCCACACATGGAAACCTTAGAGGCTTACGGGTTCCTTTCCATATGCATTCCCATGTACACAGGAGCTCAACGCACACTTCTGATAAAAGGAAATAATTCTAAGCTGGTATAATGAGAGGTTTGAGTCTCTGACGATCGAGCTTTTTTTTTTTTTTTTAAGATTATTTATTTATTTATTTATTTATTTAACAGAGATAGCATAAGTAGGCAGAGCGGCAGACGGAGAGGGAGAAGCAGGCTCTCTGCCAAGCAGGGAGCCCGATGCAGGGCTCGATCCCAGGACTCTGGGATCATGACCTGAACTGAAGGCAGCCGCTTAACCAACTGAGCCACCCAGGCGCCCCTCGAGCATTGTTTTTTCACAAGCTGGTGAACTTGAGAGGTTTCTTCTGTTTGAGTTTTTAAAATTCTCTGATGGTTGATATATCACCCTGCTTAAAAATGTAAAGTGAGTACTTTAAATAGATTTAATCTTTTAGGGAGTAATGATAGAGACTCATGTGAAAAAAGTTTAAATACAGGAAAGTGTAAAGAAGGAAAATTAAGTGCAAAACAGAGTTAACATCCTAATGAACGTTGTTCTAGCTCTCTATTTTGTGTGTCTGATTATACATAAAAGAGATTATACTGTAGTTGAGTTTTTAAAAATGATTTTTCGAAGAAGCCAAAGGTCAATGATTACAGGAAGTTAGTGTACAGATCCTAATACATAACTATTAATCATCTTGAGTGGCAGAGTTTTGCTTAATTGTGAAAACAACTGAGCAGGCATTTAAGGGGCCCCTCTATTTCAGTAGACAGCAAATCATAGAAGACACTTCTCAAAGGACATGGTGGAATCTCACACATTTCGAACTCCAAAAAGTATACCTAAAAGAGCAGAAATGATACCATAGTGAATAATTTTGCATGGCAGGCAGGTAGACTTGATTAAACAAGTGGGATTTCCTAGTTCTGTTTGCCATTTTTTTCATTCTCTAACTGTACCTGATTCAGGCAAGTATCATGCGTGTATGCTAAAAGTACTTGGTAAAAGTTTGATAGAGAATAGAATATACCCAATTCCAATGTATAATCTCACATAGTATCACCAAAAAAAAAATTAACTTCACAGTGAAAAAACTTGGCAGACACTACCTCTACTAGGATACCAAGGTTAACATCACTAAAATTGGGACTGAGTGATATCATGTGCTTCCTGACATAATGCATGCGGATAGTAATGATGTTAAAATGTATATCCAGAATCTAATCATGAGGAAATATCACACTAATCCAAAAGAAGGAACATCCACAAAGCTGGCTGTAGTCTTCAAAAATGTCAATGTTGTGGTTGTCATTCTGTGTTGTCTTTTTATTGGGTACAGTGTGTGTCTACAATAATTTAATCAGTTTCGTATTAGGAATTTAAGGTTAATTGCAATTTTTCACTGTTATAAAGAGTGTGTGATGAATGTCTTTCTACATTTGCCTTTTATTGTTACACTAGTGCGGTTAGCATCTCAGAGTAGATTCTTAGATGGGAAATTGCTGTGTCAAAGGCTGTTCACGTTCGTGTGTCCTGTGTTCAGACGAACTTCTCTGAAGTTTACATTCTCTTCAACTTGAAAGGTTGTATTCTGGGTCACGCATTTTAACTGTACCTTTAATTCTGTGATTTTAGTTAGATAAAGATGAACGGTTAATTCCTTTTTTATCACGTTTTTGTCAACTCTTTCTGATGTAGCTTTTAAAAGCAGTCCATCTCCAAGGCCATGAAGGACCTGTTTATGCAGTACATGCTCTTTACCAGAGGAGGGCATCGGATGTTGAATTACATACACTGATAGTTTCTGCAGCTTCTGATTCTACCGTTCGAATCTGGTCTAAAAAGGGTTCAGAAGGTAGGTTTAGAGACATTATAATCTATATGAAATAGTAATTGTCAAATGAGTGACAGGAGAACATACATAACCATTTTTTTTTTTAGTGTTTTAAGTCATTTTGTTCTCTGTAATGTTAAAGGTTGATAATTTAAATTCACATGGTCATTGGGGGCTCAGGATTGACCTCTTTCATCCCCTCCTGCACCCAGGGCTGTGATGATGCTACCCAGCCTTTCTGGGTGGATAAGCTCAGAGTTAGTTGTTCATGGTGTTTTTTATTACTTCTTAGTAACGTGCCTTCAGACCTTGAACTTTGAAAATGGATTCACTCTGGCTCTCTGCTTATCTTATTTGCCTAATACTGATGGTGAGTATCTTGCTAAGTATACATTAAAACAGCAATATATTTTTATATCTCCATATAACCAGAACCTAAAAGAAACATTAGGTCTTAATTTTGTATCTAAATGTTTTCATGAAACAAGTTGAAACATGGATAATACACTTTTAAAAAAAATTGAAGTATGGTTGACAAAATGTTACATTAGACAATAGTTTCGGGTGTACAACATAGTGATTCTACTACTCTGTACCTTATGCTATGCTCACCAGAAGTGTACTTTTTGTTTTCAGTATTCAAATGATTTTTGTATAGAACATAAAATTAAGGGAAAGTGTTAAGAATTTTGATAGCTGTTGAAAATTTAAGTGACTTAATATGTACTTGGGATTGATACTGCTATTTATCAAATATATTATCAACATCTGTAGATCTAATTTGGGAAAATTAACCCTTTGAAGGTGAAGGTCTAGGATAAGTTGAAAAAATACTGAAGATGTCCCCTATGAACATTTCTGTGAGGATGAGAGCCTCTTCACATCCTGCATAATAACCATTTGCCCAAGACCACTTAAAATTTCCCAACAAAGTTTTCCCCTTTGCTATGAAACCCACCTGTCTATACCTTTAATTATCCTCCACAAAGTTGATGGCCAGTGGGAGTCGGTCCATCTCTGCCACCTCAGTTAGAGGACATACCTGGAGGAGAGAGGCAGGCCTGCAAGCCCCTAGCCTCCGATGCCCTCCACAGCAGGAACTGCAACTCCACCGTTTCATGTGATATTCCCACTTTGTGTGAGGGCTCCCCAGTAGGAGGAACTCATACATCCTGGCTTTATTTATTTATTTTTTAATTTAAAAAAATTTTTTTAAAAGATTTTATTTATTTATTTGACAGAGAGAGCGAGAGCAGGAACACAAGCAGGGGGAACGGGAGAGGGAGAAGCAGGCTTCCTGCTGAGCAGGGAGCCCGATGTGGGACTCGATCCCAGGACCCCAGGATCATGAGCTGAGCCGAAGGCAGACGCTTAATGACTGAGCCACCCAGGCGCCCCACATCCTGGCTTTATTACGGAGAATTTAGTTTCTTCCCATCCACATTGAGGCCAAGTGACTGGAGTTTTATTTTTTACTTGATTTAAAGTGAGGAAATCTTTGAAAAACACACTTATGTTTACATTTACTTAGAAAAAGAGTCCTTATTTTATCTGCTGTTCTTTGGTAATGTCAATTTTTTATAGCCTCATCTTTCATAGCGTTTTAACTATGTATTTAACGACCTTTTTTTTTTTTTTTTTACAAATTGATGTATAAGTGACATATTAGTTTTAAGTGTACAACATCATGATTTGATATTTGTATATATTGAGAAATGATCACCACAGTAAGTCTGATTAATGTCCCTGAGCATACGTAGTTACAGAATTTTTTTTCCTTGTGATGAGAACTTTTAAGATCTACTGTCTTAGCAACTTTCAATTATGCAATAATTACATGCCCTTTTACTTTGTTCTCTACTGGCTTCATGAATTTGGTTTTACTGTTGAATTCTCAAACAAAATGTAAGATGCTTGAAGTGACAAACATACCCTTAAATCTTTGTGCAGTAGCCATGATGCTGGGCTCATAGCTCTTATATTTTCTTACTCAGTTGGGTTAACAACTTTTTGGATTAATCTTCTGGTTGACTTGGTGAAATGTTTTTTATGTTGTTCTTTTCACCACTACTTCTATCATAAATGATATAGGATGGAGGGAAGGACTCTCAGTCATTCTTTGCTAAGTAACCATTTAATAGAACATTTTAGAGTGTTAATTTTACTCCTATAGACATTTATTGAGCACTTTCAATGTATTTGTTCAGGGTGTGGAAAGTAGAAGCCTGGGTTCTTTACCCAGTGCTTAGAATCCAGCATTGGTGATAATCATAACATGTGATAGAATATTTACAGTAAGGCCTCTTTTTATCCTTCCAGTACCAATATTAGCATGTGGCGGTGATGATTGCAAAATTCACTTATTCGTTCAAAGAGACGACCAGGTAATTAATGATTTCATAGAATTATGTTCTGCTTAATTACATATCATAATACTATTTCCAGATGGTAGAATTTTAAGCAATATTCTGATCTAAACCAAAATAGTCCAATAGGAGAATCTTTTTTGACATCCTCTCTTAGACAATTTTCCACTTTGTTTGAACACCAAGTAAGTGCTGTCTTGGCCACCTAGTCCAGAGTTGTTAGGTAGGAAACAGGTCGTTGGATGGGGGAAGGACAGGAGGAATGTTGTAGTAGTGGATTTTTTTTTTTTTTTTTTTTTTGTAGATTTTAAATAAACTATATCTATGGTGAAATTTCCCTGGTAGTGTTTATTTGTCCTTCTGAGCTTTACCTACACGTTGAGTGGTTAAATTACAGGAGGGAAGTTCCAGAAAAGATGTAGTTTAACTTTAGGTTTATTTATTTAATAATAGAGATGCTTGTTTCTTTGCATTCTATAAGAAAGTTTAAAATGGTTGTGAATGTCCAACCACCCAACTTTTCTCTATAGAACAGCACATGTCATTTTATCCTGTAAACATTTAGAGTATTTATTTGTCTATAGATACTATATTACCTACTCACATGAGTTAGATGATTATAAGATTTTTATTCCCAAATGAGAGCTCTATCTTATGTCTGACCAGAGTGTTCCCAATTTAAAACCAAACAAAAAACAGTGCATTAGGACTGCCTGTAACCCCAAATGAAATCACTGATACACATGAAAATATTAAATTCTTACATCAAGCCCGGTGATTTTTGTTATCTTACTAGTTTCAGAAAGTGCTTTTGCTCTGTGGACACGAGGATTGGATAAGAGGCGTGGAATGGGCAACCTTTGGTCAGTATGAAATCTTGCTGAAGTACATATGATGGGGCAAGTGTGTGGAACTTCCAGGAAAGCAGCCTCTTATGTGTTCATTTAATGTTTTCTTTTTATGTAACAGTTTTCTATTGTTTCTATTAGAAAAGAGAATTCTTACCCCTTTGTTAACTATTAATTGGGGTGGTAGAGGATGAAACTAGTTGATGTTTTAAAGAGGACACTAGCTATTACACGTGAAGACATTCTTGAATTCTTTGTAGAATTTTGTGGACTGTGTATAAGAATGCTGCACATTGTAACCATTTATTAGCGTTGTATGTATATTTGCCAATGTTACTAAAAAAGAATATAGGTTAAATGAATGAAGGGTAGGGAAACAAAGTCTCATTTTTCCAGGAAATCTAGAGATCAGCATATTGTAGAGGAGAAAGTCCTATACCTAAATTTAAGAATATAATGTTTAAAAGATAATAACATTTTTTGTTTTATTAGGTAGAGATCTTTTCCTAGCAAGCTGTTCACAAGATTGCCTGATACGAATATGGAGGCTATATATAAAATCAACATCTTTAGAAACTCAAGACGATGATAATATAAAACTGAAGGAAAATACTTTTACAATAGAAAAAGAAAGTGAGTAATAATGAAAATATTTGATGTAGCAGCTTCCTAGTTCATTCATTTATCTGTTTCACTATACACCTACGTGAAGGTTAGTTTTTCAGAAGTATCTGTTGCCTACCTGAAACTGATACTATGCATTTTTTTAATAAAGGTTATATTTGAGGATAAGTTATTTTTCATATATGAAACTTACTTTTTCTAACCATATTAGTAAGATTTTTAAAAATTGCTGAAAATGTCCAATGTTTTCTCAGTAAATTAATTTATAAAATGATGCCAAATTTGCAGCTTTAGCATAGGAAGATCTAAAGGAATAAAGAGAATTATCCATACCTTTACTTAAATAAGAGACAAGCCAAAGCACTACACTTGAGTGGTATATGTAATTCTGATTTTCTTACTGTCTGGAATCAGAACAGTACCTCTGCATGGTAGATCCTGCTGGAATGTTGTATTTGAAGGAAATACTTTTGAGTGTTCACCTAAATTATAAAGTTAGCCCTCAGTGAGCATTGTTCACCTAGGAATACTCTTCTTTCTTATTACTTTAATTGGTTTTAAAGCCGACTAGAGTTGAGATTTTGGTAACATAGTTTTATAGGGAGAACCAGGAAATCTTTAACCAGCATGTTATGAGTAGCTAGTTATTCCCAAATACGAAATTTTTGTGACATTTTTATTATTTTATTTGAAAGGTTACGATACTGATTTGATCTCTATTTCTACATTTTTTTTTAAAAGATTTTATTTATTTGACAGAGAGAGACACAGCGAGAGAGGGAACACAAGCAGGGGGAGTGGGAGAGGGAGAAGCAGGCTTCCCGCCAAGCAGGGAGCCCGACGCGGGGCTTGATCCCAGGACCCTGGGATCGTGACCTGAGCCGAAGGCAGATGTTTAACGACTGAGCCGCCCAGGAGCCCCTATTTCCACATTTATCTTGTTTTTTTTAAAAAATGGTATTTAGGCTATTGCATGTTGATAATGAGTGCGGATAGGAGGCTTCAAGGAGCCTGACATGTCTGGCTTTGCTTTTTAATTGGAATATAACAGTAGCTGTTCCAGAAAACTTTTAAAATTGAACATATTCCTTAGTATGTGTTTATGATTAGATAGAGAAAAATTTATATATCTTTAGGACTTTTTTCTCCGTAATTTTGAACAATGGATAAAATTATGTTCTGATTTTTGAAAGGGAGTATGTAATTGTACAACTTGGTTATGAAAATTCTTTTTAGAAGAGCTTTGAAAAAAGAAAATGTCATTGCTTTTGTTATAGGTATTAAAATAGCATTTGCAGTTACTCTGGAGACTGTGCTGGCTGGTCATGAAAACTGGGTAAATGCAGTTCATTGGCAGCCTTCATTCTACAAAGGTAGGAAAAAAAAACATACACATATCCCTCATTTCACTTAAATCTCACGTATAGAATTTTAAGCTGACCAAATGAAGTGGAGGGTTTTTTTGATTAAAAATCTCAAATAGGTACATCTGGCTGGCTCAGTCAGTAGAGCATGCAACTCTTGATCTCAGGGTTATAAATTTGGGCCCCATGTTGAGTGTAGAGATTACTTAAAGTCTTAAAAAAAAGTTAAAAAAAATAAATAAGAATTTCAAATATAAGACATTTTTAAGTTGGCAAAGTATAATACTGCAGCTGCTGGACATGTTCTGCTGGACACTCAATTCCATTGAAACTTACACTCCTGAGTGGGAAAAGTGTGACTGATGCTGTGATGCTGAAACCACCACACCCCTTTTAACTCTCTTTGAAAGGTTTCATCTAATCATTATGGGATTTAAGAGAAATTGACTTTTAAGCCAACTTCAATTTCACTGGAACCTTTACCCCCTACAAATAGAAAGTTGGTGTAATACTGGGATGCAACATTTATGAAAAAACAAGACTTTCTTCCTCTTTCTTTTGCCCTCAATCTTCATTTATGGAGTGATGGTTGCATGCTGAGGCTGGTGCTGCAGTGTAGAGCTGAACAAGGCACAAATCTCACATTCTTCCTCTAGCCCCTTCCCCAGGGCAAGAATAGAAAAGATCAATAATGAATACTCAGGTAATCAGTATTCATCTATTATTGATATTATGCCATATTTGTTGCAGTTAAAAAAGAAAAAAGATATTACTGGTATTGAGGGACCTCTGTGTATTCTTTCCTGAACTCTTTCCCCTCCATTCTTCCCTTAGGGCAACTACAGGACTGAATTTACTGCATATCATTCCCATGAGTGTTTTTTATACTTCTGCTACATCTTTACATAGCCACAAACAGTATTGCTTTACAGCTGTTAAAACTTGATATCAATATGTATTCTCTTAGAACTTGCCTTTTTAGTTAACATGTTTTGGAGATGTATCCATGTTGATTCATGTAGCTCTAATTTATTTTTATTGAAGAATAATATTCCATTGTCTAAATATACCACAAGTCATTCATCTAGTCTTCTAATGGTAGACCTCTGTGGTATTTCCAAAAATTTTGCTATTGTAATGCTGCAAGTGAATGTTCTTGCGGTACCCATGTCATGTTTTTCTAGTGCAGTATCCATGTCATGTTTTTCTAGTACAATCTAAAAACATAATGCTTGTTGGTCACTTTAAGGCATTAGCTTTTATTCTTTAGATGGTGTTCTTCAGCAGCCGATGCGATTGTTGTCTGCCTCAATGGATAAAACCATGATTCTCTGGGCTCCAGATGAAGAGTCAGGAGTTTGGCTAGAACAGGTAAAAATGTGAATATTTAAGGAACAGAAAATTGGGTTTGATAACCAATATTTAACCCCCAAGTTTATATTCCTGGAGCTGCAGCTGTTAACTCTTTATGTATGCTAAATAAGAGGGAATGTTACAATCTATGGACTCTCTGATTCCTACTGTGAAAAGCGTGGAATATTGATTATAAATTATTTTCTTTTATTGCATAGGTTCGAGTAGGTGAAGTAGGTGGAAATACTCTGGGATTTTATGATTGCCAGTTCAATGAAGATGGTTCCATGATCATCGCTCATGCTTTCCATGGTGCATTGCATCTTTGGAAACAGAATGCGGCGAACCCGGTAAGAGAAGCGTTTTTAAATAAAGCATTTGTAGGGGCGCCTGGGTGGCTCAGTCGGTTAAGCGTCTGCCTTCGGCTCGGGTCATGATCCCATCGGGCCCCACATCGGGCTTTCTGCTCGTCGGACAGCCTGCTTCTCCCTCTCCCTCTGCCTGCCTCTCTGCCTACTTGTACTCTCTATCTCTGTCAAATAAATAAATAAAATCTTTAGAAAAATAAATAAATAAAGCATTTGTAATCAAATAGAGTGAAATGAAACCTAGGTAAACTATGTTACATACTTATAATACTCTGCAGAAACATAGTAGAGGTGTTTAAGTTCAAATGACATCACTTCTTACTATGGATATTATACTGTAGTTATACTGAGTAAGGAACTTATGCTTTTCTTAGATTAAAAGTATTCATTTGTCCAGCATTGTTGAGGTTTTGAAATTTGCACATAGGTAAACTTTCTACATAAGTGAACTTTAAGCTGTATAAATTTTAAGCTCTGCCTTTAAGTTCTATAAATTTTTTTGATGGGAGTGTTTCCTAAAATGTTTACTTTCCCTGTCTTCTTAAAGGAGATAATGTAATTTGGTCTTTCCTTGGACAGTTGGGTACTCCATAGGTAATTACTGATGAATGACTGACAAAAGGGCAGTAGGACTACCTGTTATTTTGTGAGGGAATATATTAATGCTCTCAGGGCTGTTCATAAGTGTAATTTTAAATGGTCCTCTAAATACTGGGTTCTTCTACATCTTTTTTTGTAGTTGTTAATCTCTTATCTTCCTGTAGTCATGTAGCTGCCTCTCAACATTATTCCACTCTTACTTTCTAATTTGCTTTTGATCTGCTTCTTTGGGTTTGGGGAAATGAAATTGCAGGAACAGCAGCTAAGAGCACAGGCCTTGGAGTGAGGCCACCTGGTTCAGACCCTGGCCCCAGCATTTTCTAGCTCTGTGACCTCGAGGACATTGCCTAACCTCTGTCTCAGGTTCCTCCTCTGTGAAATGTGGATAGAAATAGCACCTACTCAAAGGGTTTCTGTGATGCTTCAGTGAGTTCATATTTGTACGGTATGAAAAACTGGGCCTGGTACATATGGGATAGTATATTCATGTATTTTAAATCAAGTAAATAAAGAAATAAGAGCATTGAGTGAAATGTGAGTCAATAGATTCTGAATGTGCATCTCATGGCTTCCTTTATAAAGTAAAAATTCACGGCTTTGCATAACCTTTAGTTGGTGGGCTTTGTAATAGTTATGTTATATATAAGGATTTGACTTCTCAATGCATGGAATGATTTACTTTTTCCCTTATGTTTTCCATTTGGTGTTGACCTTCAAGATTGTTTCTATTAGTATGGAATCAGACCTATACATACAGAGAACAAACTGATGGTTTCCGGAGAGGAAAGAGGATGTAGGGTTGGGCCAAGTAGCTGAAGGGGAGTGGGAGGTACAGACTTCCAGTTACAGAATGAATAAGTCGTGGGAAGAAAAGATACAGCATAAGGAATATAGTCAGTGGTATTGTAATAGTGTTTATGGGGACAGGTGGTAACTACACTGGTGGGAGCATAGCATAATGTATAGATACGTTGAATCACTATATTGTACACCTGAAACTAATATAACATTGTGTGTCAACTGTACAAACATACCAAGAAACAAAAGGATTATTTCTACTATGAAATGAGCCAGGGAATCATCAGCTAAGGCCCTTTTTTTTTTTTTTTTGATTTTTTAATTCGAGAGAGTATGCGCATGTGCGTGGGTGGGGGAAGGGCAGAGGGAGAAAATCCCAGCAGACTCCTCGCTGAGCATGAAGCCCGATGTGGGGACTCAGTCCCACGACCCTGAGATCATGACCTGAACCAAAATCAAGAGTTGGGGGATGCTTAACTGACTGAGCCACTCAGGTGCCCCTAAGGCACTTTTAGATAAGATATATTTTAGGATAAATTTTGTTCTTAACTCAGAGTTAAGAGCCTTTGAGCCATATTTTAGCTTTAGTGTTTGAGAGCCTTCATAGAAAAAAAGCATCAGATGAGTAAAAAGAAACTCAAACCAGAAGATAGAATTCAAGGAACTTTATTTGTGCTTATAATTTGGCTTCAGATTTATAATAGCTGCTTACCAGGTATTTAAGGTGACTTTATACATTTTATTTTTTTAAAGAAGTTTTAGGTTCACAAAAAAATTGAGCAGAAAGTACAGAGTTCCCATTTACCCTCTGCCCCCACACATGCACAGCCTCCCATACCAGAGTGGCACATTTGTTACAATTGGGGCTGATTTTAAAAACAAATACTGTATGTTAGGACTATTACAGTGGAAAACTGTACTGAGAGTCCAAAAGTGCTGCTCTTTGTTCAGAACTTTTTGGGAACTCCCATTAGTGCTAACTTTAGAATCAATTTTTATGTCACAGAAGAAATTAGCACTTCTTAGTCACAACCTTTTAATTTTTTTGACTAGAAAATAATATAGCTTAGTTTAATCACTGACTGTATTCATCATACTTGGCTTTGAGTGACCTTTTAGCTATTTATACAAATTTACTTTTACTCTAAAGATTGTTTTACCACTACTTAGGTTGTTCAAAAGATGCTTGTAGATGAGACACATGACATTTTCTATATTTCATCGTCTCTTTGTTCGCATGGTTGCTGGTACGAGCTTCCTCAGGATGTGGGTATGCTGGGTTTGATTCATCCTCTGTTCTCTATATCTGTAGCTCCTTTTACTTGATAAAGAAAGCCATCGGGACTCCTGGGTGGTGCAGTTGGTGAAGCATCCGACTCTTGGTTTCGGCTCAGGTTGTGATCTCAGGGTGTGAGATCAAGCCCCGCGTTGGGCTCTGCGCTGAGTAGAGTCTGCTTGAGATTCTTTCTCCCTCTCCCTTTGCCCCTCCCGCTGGTGCACTCTCTTTCCCTCTCTGTCTCCCTAAAATAAATGAATCTTTAAAAAAAAAAAAACCAATCAGGCACATACTCAGAATCTACTGACTCATTTCACATAATACTCTTTATTATGTAGTTTAACAGAAAAATACATAATGCCTAGTATGGCATTGTTCTGGGTGCTTTACAAATAAAAATTCATTCAATTCTCATAACAACCGTACAAGCTTGGTAACTCTTTTACAGAAGAGTTCTTTGAGGCAGAGAAAAGTTAAATAGTGTTTGGCTTCTAGGAGGCATTCAGTAAATGCTGAACAGAGGGGAATTTCCCAGGGTTACTGCTTTAAAGGATGCAACACATATTTGAATGTTTAAGTTCTAATATGCTTGATTGGAAAACCTATCCTTTTATTTTAGGATTCTATTATTTTAAGATCTCATCTTGTTTTTTTAGCTTTTTACCTTGCTGGGGGAATGGGGGCATCAGTCTTTTCCATCATTAGCCCTGAGGGCAGAAGGCATTATCATGATTAGACTTAATTCTGAGTAGTAGTCATCTCTGATTATTTTGATGTGTAATGAGTATGTTCATTGCAGAGAGAGTGGACTCCAGAGATTGTTATTTCAGGACACTTTGATGGTGTCCAAGACCTAATGTGGGATCCAGAAGGAGAGTTTATCATCACTGTTGGTACTGACCAGACAACTCGACTTTTTGCTCCGTGGAAGAGAAAAGACCAATCACAGGTACAATGTCTTCCTACTTGACTGACATTTTTTTAAAAAACATCCTTTAGCATGTGAAAAGTGGGGCAACATTGTTAACCACTATGAAAATGCAAGTGAAAACAATGACACGGTGCCTCTGCACACTGTAGAGTGGCCCAAGTGAGAAGTACTGACAGTAAGGAGCGGAGCTAAGGATGCTGAGCGGCCGGGTTTTCATATGTTGCCAGTACGAGTGCAAAATGATACAGCAGTTAATGAAAACAGTTCGGTATTTTCTTAAAAACTTAGACATACGTATACTCTTTACATTTCAGACAATTTAAGTGTTAGTTGTTTTCAAAGTGTATTTACTTGCGTTCTACATAAAATTTCACTTATTCCTTGTAATTTTAGGTTTAATTCATTAGGAAACACTGTCAAGTCTGCAGTAAAAGCAAATTTCTAAAGTCATGTAGTATTAGGTAATAGTGATTGAGGGCAATTTTTGTTCAATAAACTTTTCAGTCTTGGACCTGAGCCCAAAAAATTACAACCGAACTTTACCACTGGCAAGCCATTGAACTGTGCTATGTGGTAGAGAAAGCCTGTATACTCAGCTTTAATTTCTGACAAAAATTCTTGGAACTGACTGTGGGTCAGTCCTTGAAAATGAGTGAAATCTGCCACTACTTCAGTAGCAGTGGTAGATTCAAATTATGGAGTTGAGGGCATTGGGAGCAACACTGCAGTCCATTAAAAAACAAAGCACGTGATTTGCAGTGCGTTTCTTTGGCTCTTTGTGATTTATTACCTGTACAGCTCAGCTGTTGTTTATTAGTCATTCCTTAAAAAAATGGATAAATTGGACTTCACCAAAATGTAAAATTTCTGCTTTTTGAAAGACACTGTCAGGAAAATGAGAAGACAGGTCACAAACTGGGAGAAAGTATTTACCAAGCACATCTCTAGTAAGGGATTGATATCCAGGGTATATAAAGAACATCTCAGAACTGAGTAATAGGAAAACAAACAATCCTGTAAAAAAATGGGCAAAAGATTTGAACAGATACTTCTCCAGAGAAGATACAAGGAAATAAGGACAGGAAAAGATTCTCAACCCCACCAGTCATTAGGGAAATACAAAGTAAAGCTACAGTGAGATACCATTACACACCTATCAAAATGACTAAAGTAAAAGAGTGTACCAAGTGTTGATGAAGGGGCAGGCCGCTGACACTCTTGTACCCTGCTGGTGGGATTGTGAAATGTATAACCTCTTTGGGAAATAGTTTGGCAGTTTCTTAAAAATTTAAATATGCATCTTTGATATCATGCAGCCATTTTACTTATAGGTAGTATTTACCCAAGAAAAATAGAAGCCCATGTCCGTGCAAAGACTTGTACAGAAATGTTCACAACTGCTTTTTCAGTAAAAGACAAAAAGTGGAAATAATCTAAATGTCTATCAGTACGTGAATGGATCAACAAGCTTATGTATATGTGTATATATACATGTATCTATATATATAGCTGTACAAGGGAATACTACTCAGTAACAAAAAGGATTGAATTATCACTAAACACAACACGGATGAATATGCTCTGTGGTCATATTTCCATAGCATAATAAATGATTTTGCATCTGATATTTTGCTTGTTGAAAAGAATTTGGTTTTCGAAATGTATGATCATTTTTTGTTTATCCTATTTTAATACCCAGGTGACTTGGCATGAAATTGCCAGGCCTCAGATACATGGATATGACCTGAAATGTTTGGCAATGATTAGTCGGTTTCAGTTTGTATCTGGAGCAGATGAAAAAGTTCTTCGAGTATTTTCTGCACCTCGGAATTTTGTGGAAAATTTTTGTGCCATTACGGGCCAATCACTGGATCTTGTGCTTTGTAATGTGAGTATTCCTCTAATGTTTCGACTAAATCCATGTACTTCATTTAAAAAATTTTTTTTGCTTAGGCCTGTAAATGGAGCTCATGGGTAAAAGGAAGTCAAATCATGTTATTATTGGTTTGACAAACTTTTGTGCACATTGTGACGTGCAATAATTTAAATGTTAAAACCAGAAATTTTTTTAAACACTGTAAAGAATAGCAGTGTTAAATCAAGGCAGGAATACCATGTATTATCACTGTGTTAGGTGCCTACAGTAAAACATTATATAATAGGTTATTTTTTTTTTTTTAAGATTTCATTTATTTATTAGAGAACGCACAAACAGGGGAGTGGCAGGGAGAGGGAGAAGCATGCTCCCTGCTGAGCAGAGAGCTGATGTGGGGCTCGATCCCAGGACCCTGGGATCATGACCTGAGCCGGAAGGCAGACATTTAGCTACCTGAGCCACTAAGGCACCCCTAGATAGGTCATATTTTCAAGGAGATTTCCATGTAGCTGTAGGTTAGAGGTAGGGAGCAGTGGAACCGAAGTACTTGGAATTACTGGATGAGACCAATGATTTATTTGGTGGCTAAAGATAATTTGATTGGTATAAATTGTGGGGTATAAGCAGATTATTGGCACTTCAAATGGCACTCTGTAAAAATTTTTTTAAATATTGAGTAATTTAAATATGTTTAATGAAAATACTGTGTGCTTTTTTAGGAAACAGTGGTGTTTGCATGGGCATCATTAGGCACGTGCTTGGGAGACTCTTGGAAGTAGAGCCCTGGGCATGCCATTTTCAGCCCACTTTTTGCTAGAAACCAGACGAGTGCTCTCTCTGTCACACTTTGAAACTCACAGAGCTGTTAGGGTTTGACAAGCTCGTGGATGAGAAGATAGCCGACTTTATGGATTGGGTGTAGAGGGTTGGGGGTTAACTGCAGCCTGTCTTTGCAGAGTGATTGCTTAGCATTCCATCTGTTGGTTTAAAAGAAAATGGAAGTGTAGGCAGATATCCACACAATGTGGTCTTTAAATTGTTCCTCTGCATTTATGAGCATGATATTTTTGTGTGCCTGAGGTAATAGTAACTTTTAGTGTTTGAAACATGTATCATACTTTTTATTCCAGCAAGACAGTGATCTTCCAGAAGGAGCTACTGTCCCTGCTTTGGGGTTATCAAATAAAGCTGTCTTTCAGGGTAAGGCTTTAAGTGTCCAAAAGTTTTGAACCCATAGTGGTTTTTAAGACCTAGTTACACACTTGGATAACATGTACCTCATGTTCATTACTGATTTTTTTAATAATTTTTTTAAGATTGGGGCTTCTGGGTGGCTCAGTCGTTAAGCGTCTGCCTTCGGCTCAGGTCATGATCCCAAGGTCCTGGGATCGAGCCCCGCATCGGGCTTCCTGCTCAGCGGGAAGCCTGCTTCTCCCTCTTTCACTCCACCTGCTTGTGTTCCCCCTCTCGCTGTCTCTCTTTGTCAAATAAATAAATAAAATAATTTTTTTAAGATTTATGTATTTATTTTAGAGAAGGGGGAGGGGCAGAGGGAGAAGGACAGAGAATCTCAAGCAGACTCCTTGCTGAGTGCAGAGCCCGAAGTATGGCTCGATCCCTACAGCCCAAGTCAATACCAAGAGTCGGCCGCTTAATCGACTGTGCCACCTAAATGCCTCCAATTTTTTTTTTTTAAATCACAATACATGCATCTGCTTCCTCCATCAGACATTTCATGCTAAGTACTCTGTCCATACGCAGACCCTGAAATTGGTGCGGCTTTCACAGAGTGTGTTTCATGGAGCACTGCCACTACACATGCTAATATGGCTAGCCTGAAGAATTTGTCTGATTGTTTTAAGTTTGGGAAACGTCAGGTCAAAGAAAAAGGAAGGAATCTTTATGGAATTGACTGGTGCTTCAAGGAGCACATTTGGTAAATACTGGAGTAGCGGAAATAGCCTTGGCTTTGGAGTCACGTTGATGCGTCTTTGAAGTACAGTCAGTAGTTTGAGGTGCCACTGCTTTCTGATGGTCTTAATATTGGGATGTGCATAGGACATATACATATGAGGACTGATTGATGATGTTGATGTGTTTCTTTTAAACTAGGAGATACAGCTTCTCAGCCTTCTGATGAAGAGGAACTGTTAACTAGCACTAGTTTCGAGTATCAACCAGTGGCCTTTCACCCCTCCATCCTTACAGGTAAGAAATGGTAAAAAAGTGGTTTAACAGAGTCATTAGTACACATAGTATGGTACCTGTTACTCTTGACCTAAATAAGTGCTATGGAATTCACTTATTTGCATGAAAATAGAAAAAATAATTGCAATGCTATACATTTATTGTAGAACCTCCCACTGAGGATCATCTTTTGCAGAATACTTTATGGCCTGAAGTTCAAAAACTGTAAGTTAAAGTTAAGCTCTTTGATCTGATTCTGTCATAACTTGTGATTTTTTTTTTTTCTCACCACAATTTGATTTTCTCGTTTGCTTTCCTTTTACCTACATTGTCCCCTCCCATCTAAAAATCTTTAGTGGCCTTCCTAAGGGGCAAGAAAAGCTTCACATAGATTTTTATATTACTATGCATTCTATTTACTGGATTTGTTTATTGGTCTTCATATTTAAAGTAGAGAGACATAACATATTTCTTTTACTTTTTCAAAAGGACTTCTAAGATTTATTATTCTGTTGTTTTTGTTTTTTTCCCTTTTATGGTTCTCCATCAAAACCTTTTCTGGATTTATTGTTTGTTGTACTGGGTGGCTGGGGGTGAAAACTCGTATTTTAATCTAATTGTTTGAATAAGTTGTATCACTTTTAGGAAGCTGGCATTTTCCCCAGTCTCTTTTTTTTTCCCTAAATGTTTGCCTAGACAGAAATGTAATGTCCCTAAAAGAATTGTATGTTAGAGAGATTGATGTTCTTTTCACATTTGAAAACTGCAGCCTGAGAATAGGTGCATATACTAATATAGGGATCATGCATTTTTTTTTCTTTTTAAATTTTAGATATGGACATGGTTATGAAATATTTTGTGTTGCTTGTAGCAATTCAAAGGCCCTGCTTGCCTCAGCATGTAAGGTAGGGAATTTTACTTTTTTATTCTATTTGTTCACATGTTACTTGAGTCATCAGACTCTTAAAAGTTGTGGTGATGGAGACGGAACACTCCGTGAAAGGTCACTGGGGCCTGCTTTTTTCTGAATCTTGTTTTCTCAGTCTTGTTTCCCTTCTGTCCCTTCATAAGCCTGCAACTGAGGGGCGCCTGGCTGGCTCAGTCAGTAGAGCATGTGACTCTTGATCTCAGGATTGTGAGTTCAAGCCCCACGTTGGGTGTAGAGCTTACTTAAAAATAGATAAAATTAAAAAAAAAAAAAAAAAAAAAAGCCTGCAGTTGGATTTTAAATCTGTTTCAGCCATATCCTTTTGTTCTTAAATACTTGGTTTGAGTTGATTTATTTAATCAGGTATTTTAAAATGACCTCAAAATGCGATAAATTGAAATAATTAGGAGTCCTGAAGACAAGGGGAATGAGAAGGTGAAACCCAGAGCGTGCTCCGTTCCATCTGACACTTTGTCCAGGAACAGATGTGGTACTGACCAGAGTGAATGGACTCCCTCAGCCCATGCCATGGTGAGGCAGGGTGGAGGCTGGCTTACTAGCATGCGGAATAGTGTTCTTCAAGCTTTTGCTTGGGGGAATGATCTCAAACTCACAATTCAGTGTTTATCCATATTCTGTGGAGTGAATATATATGGAGGATTGTCTGAAAGGTCTGAGACCCACATATTTCTCTACATTTTCTAAAATTTATTTACTCGTTTTAAGCTGATGACTTGAGCTGCCTATCTGGTTGGGCCCCCTCTGTCTCTGCTTTTACTGTGGCTTCTTGCCACTACCTGTATTGAGAGGCATCATAAGAAATATTGCTATGCCCCTCCTGCCTCATGTCCTTTGCTTGTTGTCCCCTCTGTGAGGATGGTACTGAGACTACTTCCTTTTGATACAGGGGCCTGTGGAAAAAATGGAGCTTAGTAGCAGGAATAGTCATGCTTCTCCTGAGCAGCTCATTTGTTTTTAGCTTTGGGAACTGTCAGTCATATAATTGGTTATTTTTCCTTTTCAAGTGGGCTTGCTTGTAGCAAGTGTGTGCAACTTTCTTGTTACTTGTGTACTTTTTCTGTGTATTTTATATTTTAATAAACAACAGAAAAGAGGTGTGGCTTGGAAAGTTTAAATCTGAAGGTTTACCTGAAGGTAGCCGGGTTTCTTGAATGGAGGATGCCAGCCACACATTCGGTTTTGATTGGTAAGGCAAATGATTGGATGTGTCTTCCTTTGAAACTAACTTTTTTTTTTTTTTTTTAAGATTTATTTATTTGAGGGAAAGAGAGAGCGAGAACAAGCAAGGGGAGTGGCAGAGGGAGAGGGAGAAAGCAGACTCTTTGCCTAGCAGGAGCCCTACATGGGGCTCGATCCCAGGACCCTGGGATCATGACCTGAGCTGAAGGTAGACGCTTAACTGACTGAGCCACCCAGGTGCCCGAAACTAACGTTTTTAACAACTTTATTTAAAGTTGTTAGCGTACTATAAGTTGCATGTTGAAGGTGAACAGTTTGATAAGTTTTAACATGTTTGTTTATACCTGTGAAATCACAACTATAATTAAGATAATGAACATAGCCATCAACCCCAGAAATTTCCTCTGCCCCTTGGTAAGTCCTCTTTCCTGTCCCTTCTTACCCTGTCCTGTCCCATCCCTAGGAAACCACTAATCTGCTTTCTGTCATGATAGAGTACTTGGCGTCTTCTAAAATTTATATAGATGGAATCCTACAGTATGCTTTTTTTTTTCTTTTTTGTGGTCCGGCTTCTTTTGTTCAGTACAAGAATTTGAGATTCATCCATGTTGTTGCATATATGAGCAGTTTATTCTTTTTTATTGCTGAATAGTTTTCCCTTTTATAGATATATTACAGTTTGTTGATCTGTTCATTTATATATTTTTTTAAGATTTTATTTATTTGAGAGCGAGCACACAAGCTGGGGGAGAGCCAGAGGGAGAAGCAAACTCCCTGCTGAGTAGGGAGTCCAAAGTGGGGCTCGTCCCCAACACCCTGAGATCATGACCTGAACCGAAGGCACATGTTTAACCCACGGAGTCACCCAGGTGCCCCTGATATATTCAGTTACTAATGGACATTTGAATTGTTTCCAGTGTTTGGCTTTAACCTATAAACCAGTTATGAATATTTGTATACAAGTCTACATACAGATACATGCTTTCATTTCTGTTGAATAAATACCTCTGAGTACAATTGCTAGATGTATGTTTATTTATTTAAAAAAATTGTTTATTTATTTTAGGGTGGGGGTAGCCAGCACAAGCAGGGCAAGGAAGAGAGGGAGAGGGACAGGCGCACTCTGCACTGAACACCAAGCCCAGTATGGGGCTTGATCCCAAGACCCTGAAGGCATGACCTGAGCTGAAATCAAGAGTCAGATGCTTGGAGGAAGGGGGAAAAGATGGCAGAGGAGTAGGGGGCCCTGTTCCAACTGGTCCCCAGAATTGAGCTGGATATCTACCAGACCACTCTGAGCACCTACGAAATCAGACTGAGATGTAAGAAGATCTGGATCTCTACAAACAGAATATCACAGGCGGTTGGTTTCGAGGTACAAAGCAGGGAGCCATGATTCCGCAGGCAGATATCGGAGGATAAACGGCAGCGGGAGGGTGCCTGGCTGTGGGATCCTACACCGCCAGTGAGCGATAGCCTCCTGTGCTGGGGACGGGCACAGACTCGCAGACCGGTAGCGGTGGGGCAAGGACTTTAGGGCAGCTCCCCAGACAGAAACCGGAGCAGCGGGGTCACGTGTGCGAGCTGGGAGCGGCTGGCGGTTTTAGAAGTACAAAGGGCAGAGACGTGCCCGACCTGGAGGCAGGACTGGGAGCACTGCAGAGGGGTGCACAACCCAGGACGCTGCAGTTTATAGCAGCACAGATAGAAATGGAGATAGTGTGGCCTGGAGAGCTCACTGAAGAACAGACTGCGATCTCTGCTCTGAGGCAGAGGGTTGGAAACGGTCTCTTCTGCTCTGACTCTCGGAAGAGACGCGGAAAGCCACCAGGGAAAGCCGCCAGAGAACAAAAGCCCCCCCAAAATGGTTCCCAATGAGCCCATACCCCGCCACAAGGGGGAAGGGCAACTGTGCCCAAACAGGGTTGCCCGAGTACCAGCGTGGCAGGCCCCTCCCCCAGAAGACAGGCTGGGAGAACAAGAGACCAGCAACCCTAAGGTCCCTAGAAAACAGGTGCATCTTACTTGGGCTCTGGTCAATAATTGACTCTATACATTCCCTCAACCGCCCCTCAACAGAATGACTAGGAGGAGGAACCCCCAAAACAGGAAAGACTCCGAGATTATGACTTATGCCGCAGATTTACAAATGGATGCAGATATAACCAAGATGTTGGAGATGGAATTCAGGCTAGCAATTGTGAAGACAACAGCTAGAATGGAGAAATCAATTAATGGCAACATAGAGTCTCTGAGGGCAGAAATGAAAGCTGAATTGGCAGAACTTAAAAATGCTATCAATGAGATCCAATCTAATCTAGATAATCTAACAGCTAGGGTAAGTGAGGCAGAAAAGCAAATTAGTGACCTGGAAGACAATTTAATAGATAAAAAGGGAAAAGAGGAGGCCAGGGAAAAACAATTCAGAATCCATGAAAATAGAATCAGAGAAATAAGTGATACCATGAAGCGTTCCAATGTCAGAATTACTGGAATACCGGAGGGAGTGGAGAGAGAGAGAGGACTAGAAGATATATTTGAGCAAATCGTAGCTGAGAACTTTCCTAATCTGGGGAATGAAACAAACATTTGTGTCCTAGAGGCAGAGAGGACCCCTCCCAAGATCAAGGAAAACAGGCCAACACCCCGGCATGTAATATTAAAACTCACAAATCTTAGAACCAAGGAAACCATCTTAAGGGCAGTTAGGGGGAAGAAATTCCTTACGTACAGAGGGAGGAACATCAGAATAACGTCAGACCTATCCACAGAGACCTGGCAAGCCAGAAAGGCCTGGCAAGACATATTCAGGGTACTAAACGAGAAGAACATGCAGCCAAGAATACTTTATCTGGCAAGGCTGTCATTTAGAATGGATGGAGAGATGCAGAGCTCCAAGACTGGCAGAAACTGAAAGAATATGGGACCATTAAGCCAGCCCTGCAAGAAATATTAAGGGGGGTTCTATAAAAGGAGAAAGACCCCAAGAGTGATATACAACAGAAATTTACAGGGATAGTCTATAAAAACAACGTCTTCACAGGCAACATGATGACCGTTCATATCTTTTCAATAATCATTGTCAATGTGAACAGCCTAAATCCTCCCATAAAACGGCACGGGGTTGCAGATTGGATAAGAAGACAGGACCCATCCATATGCTGTCTACAGGAGACTCATTTTGAACCTAAAGATACATCCAGACTGAAAGTGAAGGGATGGAGATCCATCTTCCATACCAGTGGACCTCAAAAGAAAGCTGGGGTAGCAATTCTTATATCAGACAAATTAGATTTTAAACTAAAGTCTGTAGTTAGAGACACAGAAGGACACTATATCATTTTTAAAGGGTCTATCCAACAAGAAGATCTAACAATTGTAAATATCTATGCCCCCAACATGGGAGCAGCCATCTACATAAGCCAACTGTTAACCAAAATAAAGAGTCATATTGATAACAGTACATTAATTGTAGACCTCAATACTCCACTCTCAGTAATAGATCATCTAAGCAGAAGATCAACAAAGAGACAAGAGCTTTGAATGACACACTGGACCAGATGGACCTCATAGATATATACAGATCCTTCCACCCTAAAACAACAGAATACTCATTCTTCTCAAGCGCACATGGAACTTTCTCCAGAATAGACCACATACTGGGTCACAAATCAGGTCTCAACCAATACCAAAAGACTGAGATTATTCACTGCATATTCTCAGACCACAGTGTTTTAAACCTGGAACTCAGTCACAAGAAAAAATTTGGAAGAAATT